TATACACTTTCCCCTCCCTCTTACTTGTTGTTGCCATTTTCCTCTTATCCCATCTACCTCTTACTCTAACTGTAGGTACAACTAGATAATGATCCGATATATCAGTTGCCTCTCTATAAACGTGTACATCCTGGAGCCTACCCATCAACCTTTTATCCACAAATACATAATCTAACTACTTTCATTACATGCTATACCATACCTTGTATATTTATTTATCCTCTTTTTCATAAAATATGTATTACTTATTACCAAACCTCTTTCTACACATAGCTCAATTAAAGGCTCCCCATTTTCATTTACCCCTGGGACCCCAAATTTACCTACTACTCCCTCCACAACATTTTTACCCACTTTAGGAATAAAATCCCCAACCACAAGTACTCTCACACTTGGTTCAAAACTCCCCACACATTCACTCAACATTTCCAAAAATCTCTCTCTCTCTCCTCTATACTTCTCTCTTCTCCAGGTGCATATACACTTACAATAACCCACTTCTCACATCCAACCTTTATTTTACTCCACATAATCCTTGAATTAATACATTTATAGTCCCTCTTTTCCTGCCATAGCTTATCGTTCAACATTATTGCTACTCTTTCTTTAGCTCTAACTCTATTTGAAACCCCTGACCTAATCCCATTTATTCCTCTCCACTGAAACTCACCCACTCCCTTCAGCTTTGTTTCACTTAAAGCCAGGACATCCAGCTTCTTCTCATTCATAACATCCACAATCATCTCTCTCTTATCATTCGCACAACATCCATGCACATTCAGACTTCGCACTTTGACAAATTTCTTATTTTTTTTAGTAATTATTAAATTTTAATTATTTGTTCCTCCTCTCAATACCTCATTTTCTGTTGACATACATCTCAGCATTCTCACCCAGTTGCCTCCTCACTGAATTCTTCACCATATTTTTCACATCTTCTTCTTTCAACAAACCAGCGGTATCCCACTAAGGCAGGATGGCCCAAAAAGAAAAACGAAAGTTTCTCTTTTTAAATATAGTAATTTATACAGGAGAAGGGGTTACTAGCCCTTGCTCCCGGCATTTTAGCCACCTCTTACAACACGCATGGCTTACAGAGGAAGAATTCTGTTCCACTTCCCCATGGAGATAAAAGGAAAGAAAACAAGAACAAGAACTAGAAAGAAAATAGAAGAAAACCCAGAGGGGTGTGTATATATACATATATATGCTTATACAGTGGACCCCCGGTTCGCGATACTAATCCGTTCCTGAGAGCTCATCGTAAACCAAAAATATCGGAAAGCGAATCAATTTTCCTCATAAGAAATAATGGAAATCAAATTAATCCGTGCAAGACACCCAAAAGTATGAAAAAAAAACTTTTACCACATGAAATATTAAGTTTAATGCAATAGAATAGTAATTACAATAACAACAATAACAATAAATAACAATAGATAACGAAAGAATATTTGACACTTACCTTTAATGAAGATCTGGTGATGATTGATGGGATGGGAGGAGGGGAGAGTGTGGATGGTGTTAGCATTTAGAAGGGGAATCCCAACTCCATTAGGACTTGAGGTAGCAAGTCCTTTTCCGGGGTTACTTCCCTTCTTCTTTTAATGCCACTAGGACCAGCTTCAGAGTCACTGGACCTCTGTCGCACAACATATCTGTCCATAGAGGCCTGTACCTCTCGTTCCTTTATGACTTTCCTAAGTGGTTCACAACAATGTCAGTGTAATAGTCACCAGCACATCTTGCAATAGCTGTCTGAGGGTGATTTTCATCAATGAAGGTTTGCACTTCAAGCCACTTTGCATAGAGATTTCCTTAATCTTTGAAGTAGGCAACTTCTTCAATTTCTCTCTTCCCTCCTCTGAAGCAATTTCCTCAGGTGTGGCCTCTTGCTGTTGAAGTTGATCTAGCAGCTCATCAGTGGTTAGTTCTTCATTGTCCTCCACCAACTCTTCCACATCCTCCCCACTAACCTCCAACCCCAAGGACTTCCCCAATGCCACAATGTATTCCTCAACTGGCATAGGCTTCTCAGGGTTAGCCTCAAACCCTTCGAAATCCCTTTTGTCTACACATTCTGGCCACAGTCTTTTCCAGGCAGAGTTCAAGGTCCTCTTAGTCACTCCCTCCCAAGCCTTACCTATAAGTTTTACACAATTGAGGATAGTAAAGTGATTCTTCCAAAACTCCTTTAGAGTCAATTGAGTTTCTGTGGTCACTTCAAAGCACCTTTCAAACATAGCTTTTGTGTACAGTTTCTTGAAGTTGGAAATGACCTGCTGGTCCATGGGCTGCAGGAGAGGAGTGGTATTAGAGGCAAAAACTTGACCTTAATGAAACTCATGTCCCACAAAGTCGCTCTGACAAGTCTGTAGGATGACCAGGGGCATTGTCTAATACTTGGAGGCACTTAAGGTCTAATTCCTTTTCAATTAGGTAATTTTTCACACTGGGGGCAAATGCATGGTGTAACCAGTCATAGAAAAAGTCCCTAGTGACCCATGCCTTACTGTTTGCCCTCCACAGCACACACAATTAGCCTTGAGGACATTCTTTTGCCTGAACGCTCTGGGAGTTTCTGAGTGATACACCAATAAAGGCTTCACTTTGCAATCACCACTAGCATTGGAACATATCAACAGAGTAAGCCTGTCTTTCATAGGCTTATGTCCTGGGAGTGCCTTTTCCTCCTGAGTAATGTAGGTCCTGCTTGGTAATTTCTTCCAAAACAGGCCTGTTTCGTCACAATTAAACACTTGTTCAGGTTTCTATCCTTCAGCCTCTATGTACTCCTTGAATTCATGCACATATTTTTCAGCCGCTTTGTGGTCTGAACTGGCAGCCTCACCATGCCTAATCACACTATGTATACCACTATGATTCTTAAATCTTTCAAACCAACCTTTGCTGGCCTTAAATTCACTCACATCACCACTAGCTGCAGGCAATTTTTTTACCAAATCGTCATGCAACTGCCTAGCCTTTTCACAAATGATTGCTTGAGAGATGCTATCTCCTGCTATTTGTTTTTCATTTATCCGCACCAATAACAGTCTCTCAACATTTTCTAACACTTGCGGTCGCTGTTTCGTAATCACAGTTGCACCTTTTGCAAGAACAGCTTCCTTGATTGCCGTTTTCTTGCTCACTATAGTAGAGATGGTTGATTGGGGTTTACTATACAACCTGACCAGCTCCGACACACGCACTCCACTTTCGTACTTTGCCATTATCTCTTTCTTCATTTCAACAGTCATTAGCACCCTTGGTCTCGAAGGGTTGGCACTGGGAGCTTTCTTGGGGCCCATGGTGACTTATTTTGCAAAAACAGGCACCAAAAACAGTGATAATATGGATAATATGGAATGTACCGAATGTATCCTTAGATGCTCGCACACCGGCTGGCTTGTAAACACTGGCACACACGGGGCAGTTCAGGCCACACATGGACACGTCTCGTACGAACCACATCGCATACCGGGTTTTGTATTGGGAAGCGAGGCAAATTTTCTGCGATATAATGCATCGGTTACCGGATTTATCGGATACCGATAGCATCACGAACAGGGGGTCCACTGTACATGTATGTGTAGTGTGACCTAAGTATAAGTAGAAGTAGCAAGACATAATTGAAATCTTGCATGTTTCTTCTTCTTTTAACACACTGGCCATATCCCACCAAGGCTGGGTGGCCCAAAAGGAAAAACGAAAGTTTCTCCTTTTACATTTAGTAATATATACAGGAGAAGAGGTTACTAGCCCCTTGCTCCCGGCATTTTAGTCGCCTCTTACAACACGCATGGCTTATGGAGGAAGAATTCTGTTCCACTTCCCCATGGAGGTAAGAGGAAATAAACAAGAACAAGAACCTGAAAGAAAATAGAAGAAAACCCAGAGGGGCGTGTATATACATGCTTGTACATGTATGTGTAGTGTGACCTAAGTGTAAGTAGAAGTAGCAAGATGTACCTGAAATCTTGCATGTTTATGAAACAGAAAAAAGACACCAGCAATCCTACCATCATGTAAAACAATTACAGGTTTCCGTTTTACACTCAGTTGGCAGGACTGTAGTAACTCCCTGGGCGGTTGCTGTCTACCAACCTACTACCAAGGTTACACCTAACTATAATCAAGATATTAGCCTCAATGCCATACTCATTAAATTTTAATTATTTGTTCCTCCTCTCAATACCTCATTTTCTGTTGACATACACCTCAGCATTCTCACCCAGTTGCCTCCTCATGAATTCTTCAATATATTTTTCATATCACATTCTTAATTTCAGCATTTTATAAAACATGCAACTGATTTCTCTCCATTTATTGAGACCTGAGCAGCCCTTTCCATTCTTCTTTAATTTAACTTATTTTTCAGTTTATCTTGAAGTTCAATATTTACATTCCCGTTGCAATGGTGACTAGCTATCATTCATACATACTGTACATAAGTTTGTTCTTTCTAAGCCTCTGGTATTTTTGGTTGAAGATTTTATATATTATTTCTCATTAATTGGCAGAATGATAAAAGTAGTCTCTATGAAATTTTCCATTCTCAGCATCTTAGAGGCTATACCGCTGGAATCTCAGTATTTTTGGTACTTATTATTGGTTGAATCCTGACATAGCCAACAAGTGGTTAAGAAGACACATGTACCTCATAAAGTCTTTTGTTGGTGAAACACTGAACTAATAAAGGTCTCCTTTTGCTGCATTTTTTTAAACACTGATTAAAAAAAAAAACATGCACTGCAAGGAATTTCTGAGGATCATACATTCCTCCAGTGTCAATCCTTTCACATCTACCTGCCTTCTAAGATTTATGAAATAAAGCAAACAGAAAAGATGCTTCCTAAGCTCTCAAGACCTGCAAATTGAATATGATTTCTAAAGGATTTTCCAATATGTGGCAATTTATATTCAAAGTTACCAACAGAAACAAAATGAATGGAAGCAGAAAATAATAAATAAATATTGTATAGAGAGCAAGACATTACTTTGCAAACTGTTTGCAGTTGATGGCATGTAGAGTAGTGTCCCTCTTGCAAGCGTCGTTCACATTCACTTTGCCAGTGCTGCCAGCGTACTGTAAACTCTGCAACTGAAACTCCACCATATACCTGTGGAAAAAAGTACAGTTGGAAGAATAGTTATTATACAGGTTTGGTAACTCAAGTCCTTAGTTCAGTTATCAATGAAGAGGAAAGTTTACTTTTGTGAATTCAAAACTGAAGCTCCACCACAAAGCAAGTCCTGTCAGGGAAAGAGAGGGGGGTGGGCCTTGACGCTGGTGAAGGGCACTTTATCATAGGAATTGGAGCTACCCATCACCTCTTCAAATCAAATCTGATTTCCTCCTATTTCCCAGGCACTGTATGACTCTAATGGGTTTAGTGCTTCCCATGAATCTAATAATAATAATGCAAAAAAAGTAGTTTCAGAAAGGTTATCATATTGCCTAGCAACTCCGTACAAGAAACACTACATACAACCTCAACTTTTGCCCAGCACCTGATGTGGTTAATATGATTATCTTTCAGCACTATACTAATATATCAATGTTGTCCATTTTTCTTTTGCTTGATAGAAGCTCTTGTAAGTGAAATATCATAATAAAAGGTCTTCTTTTGCTATATGCTTATTTTAATACTTGTCAGTTCTCAGTCATACTGCAGCAACTTAATAATTTAAAGTTTTATCTCAATGAGGTAACAATTTCCAGAGTATAACTACAGTAGGCTTCATATATATGCATATGTGTAAACTCATCACATAGAAAATGAGAAAGCTCACCATAAATTACTGCATTTAACAGACTACTGAAATACACAAGAATTACTCACATAACCTAGTATTTTATACAATTACTTCTTCTCTTAATGCACTACCTCAACTTCATCTGCCACCTTTCTCTGCACAGGACTGAAGAAGCTATAGGCTGGCAAAACATTTCCAAAATAAAGATGCCCAAATGCTGCACAGGCGTCTCATTTATCAATTTTTCAGTTTTCAAACCATATTCATACTGTCAGACACAACAACATCTTGGGATGTTGATTCAACGAATCCTTCAAAATTTGTCTAAAACCTACTTCCACTAGCAGGTTTCTTCACTGGTGACTCTGCTCACCACTGCTCCACCTCATCTGTCAGCAGTATATAAGCCCAATCTCTGCGAATATCCTGCACTTTTATCAAGATTGATGGACTGAACACTTCAACTCCAGGCTGAGGGACTGATTACCTTAAACTCTTCCTCATCATCTTCCACCTTTTTCTGCACTGGACTGAAAAAGCCACAGACTGGGGAAACATTTCCAGAATAAAGATGCCTAAATGTTGCACAAGTGTCTTGTTTATCAACTAGTTGGTTTACTAAACCATTTATTCATACTCTGGGGTATCATTTGACAAGAAATTAGAGATCCGTTGAAAATTTTACACTGTACGTACTGTTGTTCAAAAGGAAATGGGTGATTTAACAGAGCTACAGATGAAAACTATGATCATATACTTACCTGATAGAATGGCATCTTTCGCAGCAATTCATCTATTGAGAGGAAAGGGTCAGTGTCAGCAAAGGGATGATTCGACAGCATATGACGAGCATCTTCCATTCTTCCCTGGAGCACTGATCCATACACCTAAAATAGCAAATATAGATTATAGATTATGATGACTTTACTGCAAAATATATTTGAAGCCAGAAAGAGTTTCACCAGATAATCATGAAAAGTAAGAGGAATCAACTAGAATTTGAACATACAATTGTTTATAGAGAGGAAACTGATATATTGGATCATTATCTAGTTGTAGCTACAGTTAGAGTAAGAGGTAGATGGGACAAGAGGAAAATGGCAACAGAGTAGGGGAGTAGTAGATGGCGAGATGGAGGTATTGGGTAGATGGCGAGAATATCTTGAGGAACTTTTAAATGTCGACAAAGAAAGGGAGGCAGTAATTTCATGCACTGGCCAGGGAGGTATACCATCTTTTAGGAGTGAAGAAGAGCAGGCTGTGAGCGTGGGGAAGGTGCGTGAGGCATTACGTAGAATGAAAGGGGGTAAAGCAACTGGAACTGATGGGATTATGACAGAAATGTTAAAAGCAGGGGGGGATATAGTGTTGGAGGGGTTGGTATTTTTGTTTAATAAATGTATGAAAGAGGGGAAGGTACCTGGGATTGACAGAGAGCGTGTATAGTTCCTTTACATAAAGGGAAGGGGGACAAAAGAGATTGTAAAAAGTTATAGAGGAATAAGTTTACTGAGTATACCAGGAAAAGTGTACATTAGGGTTATTATTGAAAAAATTAGAGGTAAGACAGAATGTAAAATTGCGAATGAGCAAAGACGTTTTAGAGTGGGTGGGGGATGTGTAGATCAAGTGTTTACATTGAAGCATATATGTGAACAGTATTTAGATAAAGTTAGGGAAGTTTTTATTGCATTTATGGATTTAGAAAAGGAATATGATAGAGTGGATAGGGGAGCAATGTGGCAGATGTTGGAAGTATATGGAATAGGTGGTAAGTTACTAAATGCTGTAAAGAGTTTTTATGAGTATAGTGAGGCTCAGGTTAGGGTGTGTAGAAGAGAGGGAGGCTACTTCCTGGTAAAAGTAGGTCTTAGACAGGGATGTGTAATGTCACCATGATTGTTTAGCAGATTTATAGATGGGGTTGTAAAAGAAGTAAATGATAGGGTATTGGGGAGAGGTGTGGGATTAAATTATGGGGAATCAAATACAAAATGGGAAGTGACACAGTTACTTTTTGCTGATGATACTGTGCTTATGGGAGATTCTAAAGAAAAATTGCAAAGGTTAGTGGACAAATTTGGGAGTGTGTGTAAAGGTAGAAAGTTGAAAGTGAACATAGAAAAGAATAAGGTGATGAGGGTATCAAATGATTTAGATAAAGAAAAATTGGATATCAAATTGGGGAGGAGGAGTATGGAAGAAGTGAATGTTTTCAGATATTTGGGAGTTGACGTGTCAGCGGATGGATTTATGAAGGATGAAGGAAAAAAGGCGAGTGGTGCATTGAGGTATATGTGGAGACAAAAAAATGTTATCTATGGAGGCAAAGAAGGGAATGTATGAAAGTATAGAAGTACCAACAATCTTATATGAGTGTGAAGCTTGGGTTGTAAATGCTGAAGCGAAGGAGGCGGTTGGAGGCAGTGGAGATGTCCTGCCTAAGGGCAATGTGTGGAGTAAATATTATGCAGAAAATTCAGTGTGTGGAAATTAGGAGAAGGTGTGGAGTTAATAAAAGTGTTAGTCAGAGGGCTGAAGAGGGGTTGTTGAGGTGGTTTGGTCATTTAGAGAGAATGGATCACAGTAGAATGACATGGAGAGTGTATAAATCTGCAGGGGAAGAAAGGCGGGGTAGGGGTCGTCCTCAACAAGGTTGGAGGGAGGGTTTAAAAGAGGTTTTGTGGGTGAGGGGCTGACCTCCAGCAAGAGTGTGTGAGCGTGTTAGATAGGAGTGAATGGAGACGAATGGTATTTGGGACCTGACGAGCTGTTCGAGTGTGAGCAGGGTAATATTTAGTGAAGGGATTCAGGGAAACAGGTTATTTTAAATAGCCAGACTTGAGTTCTGGAAATGGGAAGTACAATGCCTGCACTTTAGCCCTTTCAGAGTTTCGGCCTTACTAGTACTGCTTACGCACCAGTGTCCATGACGTTCCAGTACACTTAAATAACAAAAAAAAGGACAATACCTTGACTGGAACGATACACAAATAACCCGCACATAGAAGAGAGGAGCTTACGATGACGTTTTGCTCCGACTTGGACCATTTTCAAAGTCACACTGTGACTTTGTAAATGGTCCAAGTCGGACCGAAACGTCGTCGTAAGCTCCTCTCTTCTATGTGCGGGTTATTTGTGTATAGTACGCCTAAATTCTAGCGCCCTCAAATCTAGTGAGAGAAAGCTGGTAGGCCTACATATGAAAGAATGGGTCCATGTAGTCAGTGTGTGCAGCACAGTGCGTAATGAGAAAAAAAAAATTTGACCGTGTTTTTGGATTAAAACAGCGACTTTGCACTGTATTTTCGTATGGTATTTATTGTTGTATTCTAGTTTTCCTGGTCTCTTTTTATAGAATGGAAGGCATATTACAGAAATTGAGATGATTTTGACTGGTTTTACAATGAAAAGTACCTTGAAATTGAGCTCAAAGTAGCAGAAATGTTCGATTTTTACCAAAGTTCAAAAGTAAGCAAATCATGCTAAGCGTCCAATACACGTCAACTGGTGAGTCTAATATTCTTTCACAAGTGAGCTGATATTATTTATACCATTTCTACACTAATGCAGTAGTCTGCATAACAGTAAATCTTCTATTTTTTTGTGAGAATAAAAATTCAAAGTGAAAAGCAAAAGAATGTAAGAGGGCATGGGGATATGACTAATGAACAGAGGAAATGTTATTTTAGTGCCAGGAATGTCTTTCTTGTTTATTCTGGACCCTATTCGGAAATTGGCATCTTTTGAAATTTGTGTGAGATTGGGAAAATTGCTAAATTTTGACCACTGTATTGGATAGTTGAAATCGGTAAATGGGTGGTTTCTTACTCATTCGATAGAAAAAATGGAGTTCTAGCAAAATAGTAATGATTTTTGTCGACTAGTACACTGGAATTGGCCGAAAATAGGGCTCAAAGTGGGCAAAATCGCTGATGCGTAAACATTGTCAAGACTGCTAACTTCACGAGAGCATAATTCCGTAAGTTTTCCATCAAATTTCGTACTTTTGGTGTCATTATGATCGGGAAAAGATTCTCTATCTTTTCATAAGAAAGAAAAGATTCGGGGAGGGGGGGGGGGGGGTTCCTGAGAACAAGTCTCGGAGAGAGCCTGTGGACCCTGAAAAGGTTAAAGGAGGGGTTTGGGATATTGGCAGTTTGGAGGGATATGTTGTGTATCTTTATACGTATATGCTTCTAAACTGTTGTATTCTGAGCACCTCTGCAAAAACAGTGATTATGTGTGAGTGAGGTGAAAGTGCTGAATGATGATGAAATTATTTTCTTTTTGGGGATTTTCTTTCTTTCTGGGTCACCCTGCCTCGGTGGGAGACGGCCGACTTCATAAAGAAAAAAAAAAATTGTAAGTGTAACCAACCGTAGCTATTATAATTGTATCAAAACTGTAACAAAAGAAACTTCAAAACCCATGTGTTTCAAAAAAATTTTAATTTTCATAAAGCAGAAGCACCTTTCTTTGCAGTGAAATAACACAATGAGTGATCAAAAAAAAAAAGATGATGTGTAGTATACAAAACATATTTGAAGGTAGGAGAGGAAGGCTGAGATGAGCAGACTTGGTACTTTGCAACCAACCCACAAATTAAGAGATGTTACAGGACAATGAATGTTTTGGTCCCATATCTTTAAAACAATGGTTCTTAATGAAGGAAACATGATCATTTTTTTGTTTACTCAATGGCCATCTCTTGCCAAGGCAGGGGGACCCAAAGAAAACACATCCACCATCATTCATTCCATCACTGTCTTTCCATAGGTGAGTTGACACCCTCTGACTGCTGCACCCCTACACCTTCAAAGTGCAGGCACTGCTCTAAACTCAATATTATCAAATACCCTGATGTTATTGGTTAATTAATTAAATATTATTTATCTGGAAAGAAATATATATGCACTCAAATATTCTAAAGGATGAAGGTTGCTCTGCCAAACATCTTTCCTGTCTAGTGAAGGATTTTAATAATAAAATCAGTACTCATTATGAGTTGTTAAAAATTTTTTTAGATATCAAAGACATTGAAATGACATCCTATTTTTTTTTTGAAAAGCTCAGGGACATTTTATTTTTCCAAGGAAATTGAAAGATTTCAAGGATACTTGGCTATTCTAATTACACAAGAAAAATACCAAAAAATAATCTACATTTCTTGAACAATTTTATCAGACAAATAAGAGTCACTATGCTGCCACTGAATGTTCATAAAATGTACTGTACATAGAATGCTATAAAAAAAATTATGTAGGAAAAGTTATAAAAAACAAACCTAAACTATGAAACCAACATGTACACAAAAAAGAAATATCACAAAAAATCAATACATTTAATAATCAATATAGAAAAACATGGAAAAGATAGCTTCCTTTGCCTTGGCTGTAAGCACTGGCAGTTCTAGTCATCACTGATGTGAGTTTCCATTTCCCTTTTCGCACTGTAGTTTTATTAGTTTTGCTCCTTTGCAAACAAAGAAATACTGGCACAAAAGCTGAGATCAATGAAACCCATATGGTATACAGCATAATGCAGGGGTAACATTTACTGATAAGACTCATCAAAAAATTGTACCTAGTTTTTTTTTTAACACACTAACCATCTCCCACTAAGATAGGGTGACCTGAAAAGAAAGAAAAACGTTCACCATCACTCATTCTATCACCGTCTTGCCAGTGGGACACAGACAGGACAACTCAGATGCCCCTCCAAATTGCAGACAGTAGTTTCATTGCCTTCCATCAACTGACTGAACATTATTGCAATTGAAATTGGCAAGTGGGAGGGGTAATGATGATTCCACTTTAAAAAAAAGTCATAAATTTACAAGTATGAAGAAGACTGATGTGGAAGGAGCATATGTAAACACTTTTTCGTCCTCTAATACAAATGAAAAATAATCATGAACATTACTTACAGCCTCCCAGTATGCTGAATGCTGGTGTGGATGATCAGATTCCATAACTTCATTTTTCTTCTCTATACACTGAGTAAAGTGAGAGCGAATCCACATAAGCAACTGTCCTAATATCATTCCACCTGGGAAAAAGTTGAGTTCAGCCTATATGACATACCAAGTATCAATTTCCTTAATTAATACAGTGCCTTGTCCATATTGTAAAAATGACATTTAAAAAAGTAACTTGAAATAGCTATGAGTCTTACACAACTGCATTAATGTGGTTGTCTTGTGATTTTTCTTTTTCTATTTTATAATTGCACCATATCTGCCTTTTTTTATCCAGGCATTCTTAAGATTGAATTAGAAAGTAACTTTTTATGGGGTCTGGTTTTACTTTCACCCATAGACATAGAGTGACATCTTTATAATGAAATCCATTACCCATTTTATTCCATGTTTAAGTTATCTAAATCCTGCGGTATGAATTTACTAAATCTTGCTGTATGATTTTACCAAATCTTGCTGTATGATTCTACTAAATCTTGCTGTATGATTTTACTATTATTTTGATTTTCTATTTGGCTCAAATTTGTGTGTTATCTGCAGACATTTATATAATTTTTTATCCCTCTGGCACGTATATACCCTGCCTCGGTGGGAGACAGACAACTTGTTGGGGGGAAAAAAAATGCACATAAATTCGAACATTATCAAAACGTATCATCTTTAAACCCTGATTACATTTCCTTATACTGTATCAATATTTTCCTTTTTTAACACACAAGAAAGTCATTTATCCAGTCTAATAAATCACCCTTACTATATTCTACTTGTAATTCTCAAAAGCACCTTTTATGATGAACTTTTATAAAAAAAATATTTTTAAGAGTACAAATAGATAGTACAACTTTGTTTTTCTTATTAGGTCACCCTGCCTCGGTGGGATATGGCTGGTTTGTTGAAAAATAAAATAGTAAAATAGTGTATCTATTCACTTTGATATTATATTTATCCTGTGACTATTATAACACCACAGTAAAGTAGGAATGTTACTAACCTGAAATCAAATAGTTATAGAGTATTTAATAGCTATATAGTTTTCCTAATTTTCAATAAATATTTTTTTAGCGGGTTTCTCTATTTTGCTTATCACACTTCCTACCAAGATTGGTCTGTGATGGAATGGTTGTCTTTGTCATCTGGTACACTATTCCTCATTTTCCCATTTAACTATCAGTTTACCAAACACTGTAATTACCTATTTGAGTTAGTAGAGGATAATCTTCAGTTGAATTAGTCTTTTATTTCATTACTGATGAAATTAAAACGTTAAGACCGTATTTACAGCTTTACTCTTTTATAAAATTATAGTCACTTCTACTGTACCTCTGTTTAGCTCAAACCACTTCAATGCTGTTGTTACATTGAAGTGGTTCCTGAAGTTTCCTATGACTCAGTCATGTCTCTGATGAAGTGTGTCTTTCTCAATTTTGTCTATTCCCCAGAGGATTTTGCATGACAAAATCATACTATCTTTTGTTCTGGTTTCTTCTGGAACATGAAATTTAGCTCAAGCAGTTTTTCCTCATAGCACAATTGTTTCAGCTATAGTAGTAGTCTGTAACTTTTTTGGTGAAGGTTCCAAACTGGTATGCATACTCAAGGACTGGTCATTCTTCACCACATGTGTGACTTGAAGTCACACATGTGGTGAAGGATGACTTGAAGGAGTATTTGTTTAGATTTCTAAAGGTTATCACTGTTTGCCAGTAAAGGCTCTCGTAAGAAACTCTATCAAAAGCATTCTTGATATTTTAATAAATGCTTGTCATCAAGACAAAGTTGCAAGTGTTGTAGCGTGAGAGACTAATCTGGAAACTATAGAACATAGAAGAATATAATTAAGTAACTCAGGGAGGTTTAAGTATGAAATAACTTAATATCTCCAAGATGACAATGTTATTATTAATTACAGGAACCCCCATGATGCTTACAAACTGGAGGAAAACAAAAAAAAACTTTCATCATCACTCACTTCATCAGTCTTGCCATGTGTGATGAATGGTTTTGAAAACCGACAAGTTGAAGATTGAGACACTTATGCACCATATGGGAATCTTTATTGACTGAAGCCACTGTGTGGTGAAACATTTCCTCAATAAAGATTCCCATATGTTGCATAAGTGTCTCAATCTACAGTCTTGCCATGACAGCTTTATTTTTTCTTTTCCCACAATTTGAAATTTAAATAAATTCCCTTTCTTTCTCTTTACATAATTCAATTACAAACCATTTTCATCAAACTTTGTTAAATTTTTGGTTAAACTGCTCAATTTTTTAATTAAAAAACAAATTTAAATTTATTGTAAAAATTTAGAAAAACTTCATTCTCCATCTTATACAGAGTTTTGCATGAGCAAAAGATATAATTTTTTTTTTTCAACAAACCAGCCATATCCCACTGAGGCAGGGTGGCCTAAAAAGAAAAACTAAAGTTTATCTTTTTAAAATTAGTAATGTTGCCTCTTACGATACGCATGGCTTACAGAAGAATTCTGTTCCACTTTCCCATGGAGAATATCAATATAATGTGATATAATAAATATATTATGTCTCTTACCTGGTTTTTTGTCAATGAAGAGTATTTCAATAAGACTAAGAATGAGCTCCATCTTGTAAAGCAACTGCCCACTAGCTGTTAATTCTTCTTGGTCACCTTCACACTCTCGACACATAGTTATATCTTCAACGCATGCCTGAATCATTGATCTGCATATAAAAAGATATATAGCATTATTATTTAAATAACTAATTTAAGATTGGTAGCAAATTGATATTATCCTACATAATTTATATTTTTTTACAACACTGACCATTTCCCACCAAGGTAGGGAAACCCAAAAACAAAAACATTCACCTTCATTCATTCTACAGTTGTCCTGCCAAATATGCAGACATCACAATTCATGCAAGCCAGTTTAAACCAGCTAACCAGTTTGAATGAATCCTTTCATGCTACTATGCTTACACTCCAACAGTATATCAAATCCTTGAAACCCCTTGTTTCCACCTGCTCAAATCTAACACACTTACACAGGCCTGCTGAATGCTTGAGTCCTGTCAACAAGAATATTATTACCATAATATGCATGTTGACAGAATTGCTTACTTGAAGATTGACAATAAAACCATAATTTACACTTCAGTGGACCATTATAATGCATTTTCATCAACAACATCAAAAAACAAAAATTCTTTCCCACCTGTATTCTCTGCATTTTTTTACAAGCACAGATTTATAATCATCAGGTTCAACTTCTTTAACTGCATCTTGAAGCGAGATAAATGTGCCCATGGCCTCGTTGATCAACTTTCGTGCTTGCCGGCTCCACAGCCATGAGAATGACTCCACTTGGTACAATTTGATTTTACCTTCCACTGCAGATGGATATTCTATAAATATGGATTATGTATCAGCAAAAAAGTAAAACATTTTTAAATTGCAAGCATTTCAGCTTCAAAATGATGAACTATCAATGCCAGAAACTTTCCAATACATACATTTAGAATGTTTTTGACAATTCATATCAATAACACTTCCAATATCTGATAATTAGTACATACTGCAAAATGAATAAATAATCTTGCTGAAAAAGTGACAATGCACATGACAAATCTCACTTAATTCTCCAAAAAAAAAAAAAGCCACCATAATTGAGAAGGTTATTAATAAACTGACTTTGGTACAGGATGCACAGACCTATAACCCTGTGCTCCTACAGGATGTCTGATATTAAGGCCCGAATGCTCCAGTCAGAAAATCAAAACTCAACATTTAAGTGCAGTACAGTACTTTACCTACACACACTGCATGTTCTAGCAGCCACTAGTGTGGGGCTGTGGATGATGTGTGTCAGTCAGGTTAAGTAATGTCTGGTTTAGCCATTATCTAAATAAATGACCATGTGAACAAAGTCTTAGGGCTAAGGAGTACTTCAACAAGCTACAGCCTTTTTGTTCCCAACAGAATATAACAATAAATATACCCAAAGAAACACGCTGACTGTAGTAGGTTCAAGAATAAATGAAGGAACAACCAATTACAGAACATGACATAACTAAAATTGTCAAACCTTTAAAAACATACAATACCTACCTTTGCATGCTCCGAGTTAGGTAGTGAAGATGAGTAAAGGTTACTTGGACAAAAATAATGTGTAACTGTACAGATTGTAATTTAGCATAATGGAGAGATCTATCAAGGCATTTTTCTGCTCAATGTTTCATCTTGGGGTGTAAGGATATGGCAAAATAAATAAAAATTGTCTATGCTGCACAAACATGCAGTAAACACAAAAATAACTTCCAGAAGATCCAGGGCATGCATTTATTAATGACACTGTCTTTATGAAAGAACCAACAACAGTAGCACTACCCTATGGAGTGGACAATAATAATAACTGGACTTCCTGCTCACCTTGAAGCTATAAAAAAAGGCAACTTTTCTATACACAACATTCTTATAATATTGTACTATATTGCAGGGAAGCAGGAAAACCAATTAGTGGTCCAAAAAAAATTTCATAAACACTTAAAATCAAATTCCTTTAGTAGTACAGAGACAGGCTAGGTTGGGAATGTTTAGTAGTACAGAGACAGAGGCTAGGTTGGGAATGTCAAAAATCAAACATGATTTTCAATTGTTTTTGTTACAGTTAATAAATTATGTTTTCAGGAAACTGAAAATAAACCAAAAGTTTAGTAAATTTTTATAATAGAATGCATGCCAAAAAAAAACAACCAACTCAATCTAACTTAAATAGGAGTACAAAATAAACTCATCCTTGGCATTTTCTTCTTACCTCTGTCATCCTTGTAGTGATCTTTATGTGGAAAAACCAGAAGGGAACTAACACCTCCAATTATACCATGCATTCTATTGGTAATCACTGGATCTTGAATACTCTGTTAAAATATGAATTAAATATTTGTAAAATAATAAAAGAGATTTCTGTAAATCCTAAAATTACAAGTACAGTACTGTACTTGTAATTTTTGCAAAGCCCAAAGATAAAACCCAAAAGCCCTAATTTTTGTTAAACAAATGTTCAGTACAGTATTACCTTTAAGAATTATACACAAGAATATGAGTGGAAGAGCACTGTTGTAGGCCTAAATAAGTTCATTTAGGCAGAGCTACACATAAGTACAATTATCCTAGAATAATCCAAAAATAAGTCAGACACAGTGACTGGTCCCTGCTAGGTAGCTGCAACTCATACCCAGCCATTTTCACTTGTGTATGATTGTATTTATTGTACATCATTACCCATTTTTAAAAATATCTAAAGTATGTGCTTCAGTGATGCTACCTAGCAGTCCCACTCACTCACAACTTCTAATGCCACAGCATTGCTTTCTTATATCCCTTCTGAATCTAGATTTGTCCAATTTCAATATGCTGTACATTGTAGGGTTTTCTCAATAAAACATTTCGGCATCTTATCCTTATTCTCGGTATTTATTCCCACTTTTATTTCCTGTGCTTCAAGCATATTCTCCTTCATTCTACAGTTTTACAGCATAGGAGACAGAACTTGGGGAGCAATCACCTTCAATGTAGCAAGTTCTGGGTATTTTGGGACACTGTAGGCACATAATAGGTAATGTAAAATAGCCGAGAGCTGCTTACAGTGCATACATAGTATTTTGTTTACATTTTGACAATATATACAGTACCTGTGCAAGAAAGGTATAAAATACCGACAATATGAAAGTTAAGACACATGTGCAACATCTGGATATCTTTATTGTAGACGTTTTCCCATCCAGTGACTTTATCAATACAGACTCTAGGACATAATTAAAAGACAGTAGAACTATATACAAAAGATGAGGTAATCAGTCCCTCAGCCTTGGAGTTAGTGTTCACAGCATTGTGGTGGTGGAAATTAAATCTGACTGAATCCCATTCCACAGGCACTGTAGGAACCCTAAAGGTTTTAACACTTTCACTTGATTTCGTTTTTTTTTTTATTAAGACACCGGCCATTTCCCAGGGTGACCCAAGAAGAAACACTTTCATCATTATTCACTTCATCAATGTCTTACCAGAGGCATGCCTACACAGCAGTTAAAAAACTGCAACATATCAACACCCCTTCTTCACAGCACAGGCACTGTACTTCCCACCTCCTGGATTCAAGTCCGGCTAACCAGTTTCCCCCGAGTCCCTTCATAAATGTTACTTTGCTCACGCTCCAACAGCACGTCAAGTCACAAAAACTATTTTCCACTTGCTCCTATCTAACATGCTCACACATGCTTGATGGGAGTCCAAACCCCTAGCACACAAAACCTCCTTTACCCCCCTCCAACCTACCCACCTTTCACATGATTATAATAATACAACAGTACAGAAGGCAATGACTATTCAGATCAACTCCAGGGGATTAATAACCCAGGATAACCCAAGACATTGGTACCAAGCAGTTTGACAAATGTCAGTGATTTCTACACATATACAGTGGAACCTTGAAAATCGAACATACCAAATATCGAACGTTTCGAAAATAAGACCATTTTTTCGGACAAACTGTGTACCAAAAATCGAACGCGTTTCAAATTTCGGACCGCCGGGTATGGGACCTGTCCGCTGGCCCGCTCTGTCCGCGTCCCCGCGCAGGCGCCGTGAGCAGTCTAGCTTTGTTTATGCTCGAGTGAACACTAACCTGCAATCTCATTCACACATTTTACAATTATTTCGTTGTGTTTAGTACTTGTGGGACTGTGAAATAAGCTGCCATGGGCCCAAAGAAACTTGCTAAGGGTACCCCTGTGATAAAGAAAGTGAGAAACACTATAGATGTGAAGAAGGAAATAATACAGAAGTATGAGAGTGGTGCAAGACTTGTTGAGCTTGCCAGGATGTACAGAGGACTGTGGACAGTTATTTTGTGAGACAGAAACAGACAACTGTGGACAGTTATTTTGTGAGACAGAAACAGACGACTATGGAGTTATTTTGTGAGACAGAAACAGACGACTGTGGAGTTACTTTGCGAGACAAACAGACGATTGTGGACAGTTATTTTGTGAGACAGAAACAGACGACTGTGGATAGTTATTTTGTGAGAAAACAGACGACTGTGGATAGTTATTTTGTGAGACAAAGAGGATTGTAGACAGTTATTTTGTGAGACAGAGGACTGTAGACAATTATTTTGTGAGACTGGGGTCCAATGACTCCAGATGCCATCACCAATCTTCAATAAAGGTAAGTAAAAATGTTATTTTATATTACTATACATAATTAAAGACTACAGCATTTGTTGTATGTATGTATGTATGTAAAACTGTAATTAATCTCTATAAAATGTATTATTTTTGTGAATATTTTTGGGTTTCTGGAATGGATTAATTGTATTTCCATTATTTCTTATGGGAAATATTGCTTTGAATTTCAGACTTGCTGCTATGTATGATAATTTATGTAACTGTACCTGTACCTGAATAAACTTACTTACCAAGTCATTGATCAGTCAAGAGAAGTTTCCAAACTTTCCTACTGGTGAAGAGCCCTGCTCATAAATTTAGTAAAACTATCAGCAAGCATTAACCTAATCTAAACTTAAATTTTGTTGCTGGAAATTTTGTCTGGAAAACTCGTTAACATTGACAATTTGAAAAGTAGGCGGCTTTGCCAGATACAGGGGTTAATTTCCAATGAGAGACTGCATCCAGGTCCTTTCATTTTAAGTACAATGCTTATAGAAATGATTCATTACAGGTACTGTAATATTTTAGGCTATATATGCAGACAACATTTTAAATTTATGTAACATTTACATACATTAAACACACAGTGGTGATAAATATGAAGATTTAACCTAGCATAACCCAAGTCTCCTTACAAGATTTATTTTCATGGGATTAGTCAATCTTCTCTATATGGAATCAAATGTATTTATATCCACTAACAAGTATTATATCTAAAAGATATTTAATAAACTGATCATTCAGAAGATTTAACATGACACCCTAGTCATACATTATAAAACAAATCTATCCCATTATTATAATTGTGGGGATGTGGTAAACCTACATATAGTCATACATTTACCAATGACTTCCCTGTGATCTGCTTCAAGAATTTTCCTACTCTTGTGGCCTAGGGCCAGGCCTTCCTGTTGTCTGACCCACTGGCCCACATGTCCCTCACAGCCTGGTTGAGCTGACACACTGCAGAGATGCCAAAGCAACCCAGTTTCCTCTGGAATATTTTTACAGTTATTCTGGCAGCATTTTTGAAGTCTTCGACCATAGGTATAAGCACTGTGCCCTCTTATTGCACCCATGATTCTCCTGCTTTTCATGGGACCTCTTTTATGCTTTCTCCTGTATCTCATCAGTATGTTACTGTGGCAGTGTTCAGGTTTTGGACTAGCTCCTCTGGTATTTTCCATGTATATAGTATTGCCTATCTCTTCCCTCTCTTGAGAGTAGTTCCAGTTGTTTGAGTGTCCCCAGTAGTACAAATGTCAGGGAAGTGGGAGGAACATAATTAGGTTAGATCCGAGGAAGGAAATTAATATATTTTAGAAAAAGTGCAAAACCCACAGGGGGTCACACAGCACTTGGAGAACTGGAGGCAATTAGGTTCAATCCAAGGAAGGGGAGGACATGTCCAATTCCTTGGTTCAATAGCCCTTTACAAGCATCAAGGAATCTTGCTTGAGGAACCCGAGGAAGAGAGGATGGCAGTTCCAAATCCTTGGATCAAGAGCCTTTCACCAGCATCAACGTATCCTTATCCCTTACAAGGATATCTGGGCCAGATATTGCACAGGAATATTGCAGCACCTTCAATCTTGATCCTGTCGTGAAAAAACCTACTTCCATTGAACAAGACGTCTGTAACATAAATTGACACCGCCGAGAGGACCTCGTGCACACGTATAACAACCTCGATTTTGAAAAGGAGGTCCATATAAGGTACAACTTACCCATGTTCTACTGGTATTTTTCGAAAATGCACTCATGGTTGTGTGTGTATGTGCGTGGTCGGTTGTATGCCGTCACTCGCTCAGCCAAGAGTTAATTCATTCAATTCAATTCAAAGTTTATTCTCTATAAAGATTACAATGTTGAATTTACAGAATTTGGTTGTTGTGTGGTTTACATGTAGTTAAATAATGATTACAGAGTGTACCACTAATATTAGTAAGTAAGTTTATTCAGGTATACACAAATAGTTACATAGAATTATCATACATAGCAGCATATGTGTAGAGAACCTAGAATAACCAAAAAAAAGTCAGTGACTTATTTTATCAATTTTATTTGCAACAAATATAATTCGCTAAATATATGCAACACCAATATGAATTTATAACAACTTCTTTGCTTGAACATGTGTGGTATTTTTATTTATAACATTATCAAACAGTGTTTACCTATTGAAGCTCGCAGGACCCTATGTCTAGCTCTCCCCTCAAGGAAGGTTCCTTGATGTTGGTGAGGGGCTCTTGATTTAGGGAATTGGATCTGTGCTCCAGTTCCCCGAATTAAGCCTGAATGCCTTCCACATCCCCCCCCACAGGCGCTGTATAATCCTCCAGGTTTAGCGCTTCCCCCTTGATTATAATAATAATATGTCTAGCTCTTATACAATGTCATGTAGATTATTTTTGTTCTTCATGGTACTCTGCTCTAACAAAAAAAGATGGACTACTAATCACCCAAAACAAAATGGTAAAATTCATCCTAGGTCTGCGTCCAAGAAAGTATGTGGGCCAAAATGAATTACAATAATTAGATATGCTGGAACGTTAAAGACAGATTAAGTTTATTTAGGTACGGGTACACATAACTATAATCGTCATATATAGTTAAATATACATGTAAATTACTTAGGATAACAAAAAAAAAGTCAAAGTGACCTTTTTCCATTAGGATCCTTATTTATTTCGTCTATAAAATTGCTCACAAGCGTTGTCCATTATACAGCGCATGTGGGGGGGGGGAGGTATTCAGACTCAATTCAGGTGAGGGGCTCTTGATCTAGGGAACTGGATCTGTGCTCCAGTTCCCTAGATCAAGACCCCAATGGAAATAAGTCTCTCTGTCTGACTTTTTTGGGTTATCCTAGGCTCTCTACACATATGCTGCTATGTATGATAATTCTATGTAACTGTATTTGTGTATACCTGAATAAACTTACTTATTCACCAGCGTCAAGTAACCTCCCTCGAGGGGCCAAGCGTTGTCCAGATTATCTTGCAGAATTTGTGAAGGTTAGGTAACTAAGTTTATTCAGGTACAGGTACACATAAATACAGTTAAATAAATTATCATATGTAGCAGCACATGTATATTATTATTATAATCAAGGGGGAAGCGCTAAACCGGAGGATTATACAGCGCCTGGGGGGGATGTGGAAGGCATTCAGGCTTAATTCGGGGAACTGGAGCACAGATCCAATTCCCTAAATCAAGAGCCCCTCACCAACATCAAGGAACCTTCCTTGAGGGGAGCACATGTATAGATTACCTAGGATAACAGTTCTTCAGACTGTATGAACAGCGAACATTGCCGCTGAATCCTCTTAGATATTTGTAGCACGTTATTTATATGCTCTTTATATATTGTTGTCTTCTATTTATACACATCAATTATATAATCACTAATTCTACTCCTTTCTAGAGAGAGAAGATTCTGTGCCTGTCTTTGTAGGAAAGATTTCTGATATATGGGACCACTTCGTTATCCAGCGCTTTTGTCCAGAACTCAAACTCGGGTTTTGGTGACAAAATTTTGTTTTAGTTAATACAGTGTAATTGTATTTATATATGTTTTATATATAAAGTTTAGAAAATCGAATGCTCTACTATCCTAAACCTAGTTCCTCTTTAATAAACCAATATTTGTTGATATTGTAATGTTTGTTATTCATTTTTTTTCATTATCAACGACACTTCTTACAGTTGTTATTTTATACTTAAAAAATGCTAGGCAAAAAGTATAAAGCTAATATAAATTCATTTTATTCAAAACGTTGTATATTGTTACGATAAATATTTCGAGTACTTAATAAATGTATATAAGATAGAGAAGGTGGTTCTTCATTTGAGTGTTGTTGTCTGTCCTTCCTGTGTCAGCAGTGTTAGCGTAAGGCGGCCTATCTTACCCTTGGTAAGTTTATCATCATTCATCCTCTCCTTGTTATACTTATGAGTGTTACTGATAATTCCAACACTTGCATACAGTGTCCAACAATTGTACGTGTTTATTTTAGATAAATTTGAATTGTACGTTACCTAAAATTTATTTGATATTTTCAGGTGGTGCTGCAACTAACTGAACATCCACCATGGTAAGTGAAATTTGATCAGATTCATTTAATTTTTGTTATTATATGATGAGTTAAAATACGCTATTTCGAAGTGTAATGAGATAATACATCTCTGAAAAAAATATTTGTTTATAAAGTATAAAGGTTAAGAAAAATAGTAAGTAATATCTGTCTCCTTTGCAGCCGAAGCAAATAATGGAGATCAAGGATTTCCTTTTAACAGCACGGAGGAAGGACGCAAAATGTAAGTACTTCCCTGGTTATCCTGGTCGTAGTACTGCCTTTTTTTTTTGTTTAGGTTGGCTGTACATTTTATTTAATCCCCATACATTGGTTAATTCGCATTGGAAAAAACTGCTACGGTAAACGACTAGCAAACTGTGTGGAAAAGTTAAAGGTATTTTAAGCTCAACTTCTAGTGTTTGGAGGATAAATATTGATAATTCTGAGTGGATTAAGAATGAACAGGCATTCACAAAGTGAAGTTTCATTATCAAAACGCCAAGGATACTTTGTTATTGATTGACTTTCCTCAATAAACCTTTCAAGGATGAGGGGCTCTTGATCTAGGGAATTGAATCTGTGCTCCGGTTCCCTGAATTAAGCTTGAATACCTCCCATCCCCCCCACGTGCATAGTATAATCTTACAGGTTTAGCCCTCCCCCATATACATACATACATACACATACATACATATACATACATATACATACATATACATACATATACATACATATACATACATATACATACATATACATACATATACATACATATACATATACATACATACACATACATACATACACATACATACATACACATACATACACATACATATACATACACATACATATACATACATACATACACATACATACATACACATACATACACATACATACACATACATACATACACATACATATACATACATACACATACATACATACACATACATACACATACATACATACACATACATACACATACACATACATACACATACACATACATACTAGATATATATATATATATATATATATATATATATATATATATATATATATATATAATATATATATTATATATATTATATATATTTATATATATATATATATATATCTAGTATGTATGTGTATGTATGTATGTATGTATGTATATGGGGGAGGGCTAAACCTGTAAGATTATAATATATATATAATAGATTTATATATATTTATGTATATATATATATATTATATTTTTATATTTTGTGTGTGAAAGAACGTGTCCTAAATCACAATAGAATTTGCAAGTAATGACAGTGTACACCTAATTTGGCTGGTGCAGGAGCCTCTTGTCTTAATATTAGTGCTCTTATAATGTTAGATTATGAAGCTCTAAACCTGTGTGGTTCATTTAACATAAGCATTGCAGTAGGCCTACTGGCTCATGCTAGGCAAATCCTACTCGTTTATCTAACCAATTTTGAAAAATGCTTGCTGGATTTGTTTCAAATTACTTGTATTATATTTTTCTTAATACGTGCATGCTCAACTAAGACAAGTCACCACAAATTTGATTTAGTAATCAGATCCATTAGTAATCTCATCCACCCATCCAGTGTATTTGCCAAATCTCCAAGTTGCTAGTGTTGGAGTCATCTGACATCATAATTTGTTTATTTTAGGATAGGTTATATTAAGTTAGTGCTTGCTGATAATTTTACAAAATTTAAATATGGGACAATTCTGCCAGTAGGAAAATAAAATATCTGAAACTTCTCCCTACCTGCCTCGAGGTTGTTTCGGGGGTCAACTAGGCGAGTGCAAATGAGAAATACATCTGTCTCTTCCTCAGCAGATGGAGGATCAAGCCTCTGCTACATCTAGTGTTGTACTAGGGTCTAATCTTCATTAATTTGTTCTTGATGGCTCTTCTGACATGGCAGGATGACCCAAAGGAAAGAATGGATGTATTTTACTCCAGATTCCATATTACAGACGAATTTATAAATTACTGTCATTTTACATATCATTTAGTGATGTGATAATTCTTATACCAGAGGTACTCGAGGTGTGTAAGGTAAGAGAGATAAGGCTTTATTTGGATTTTTAATGCCAGAGGGTTAGCCACCCAGAATAACCCAGTGCGTCATTAAAGGACTTTGTCTTATTTCCATTGGGGTCCTCAGTCTTGTCCCCCAAGATGCAACCCACACCAGTTGACTAGCATCCAGGTACCTACTTGTTTGCTAGGTGAACGGGACAAACGGGTGTAAGAATATAAGCCCCATGTTTTCACCCTTGCTGGGGATCGAACCATGGACACTCGGCATGTTAAGCGAGAGCGGTTGCCATGGGCAACATGAATCAGGCCACAGGCCACCTAGTGTCATGACCTTGTACATTAGGTCTTTTTTTTTTAAATAACCTTGACATTTTCCGTGTTGTTGCAGCTGTTGAATTTTACTGGTACATAAAAGTACCAGACTGCTTGAGTGTAGCCAGTGAAGTCTTATTGTGAATTGCTCGCTAGCTAAAAAATGTAGCCTTGTATTGGGTGTGGCACAATAAGGCCTTGAAATAAGTTTTGAGAGTTTTCAGCAGATGTATTAATGAATGCATAGTACAGCATTTTATTTTTGTCAAGAGGGAAAAAAAAAAAGTGTTCAGAAACTTAAATGATTGGTGGTGACTACAGTACTGCTGATTGAAAATTAAAATTAGCACTACTGTATTTGGGAAGAAAGATTATAATTTTCTGTATAGTGTCACTGTTTTGGCTGTGCCTCACTTGGTGTATCTT